GGTGCTAGTGGGGGGTCTGCCCTGGGGCTAAGGTGCTGGTGGGGGTCTGGTCAGGGGAGAGGGGGGCAGGGGCAGTTCTGCCGATACCTGGGTGTCTCCAGGGATGAGGATCTCTGGAGAAGGACCTGTGGGCAGCGTTGAACAAACCTCTCCTATAATATATCTAAAATTAGTATAGCAGATCATAAAACAAACATACAAATGAAGGCAAATTCCTCATTCTACTCCATGACACAATACTCATAAATTTTCTTTTTAATATACTAAAATGAAATTAGTCCAGTGTCAGTTCTCTCTTCATTAATTTCTACATTTTCTTCTTCCTCAGGGCTTGAGAAAGGTCTCCCATACAAATCCAAGATGTGCTACTAATCAAGCTGATTATTTTTGAAAACAACACATCCATTGCTCCATTTCCACCTCTATATGGGTATGCTGCTGGCCCTTTAAAGGCTCCCTCACCTCAGTAAAGAAATGCTCAGGAAGGGAGTAAGATTTGCCATGGGTTTCTCTTTAGTCATGGATAGAAGGAGGAGACAGTCAAGTACAATGAGCTTAAAGTACAATGAGCAGGAGGAGTTTCCCTCAAGACTCAGACCCTGGGAACCTGAGGGTTTGTGGCAGAGTGAAGAAAGTAGCCTTGAGAAAGAGAACCTGGGCGGGTTTCAATTTGACAGCCAAATAACTAGCCCCCAAGGCTGGAGCTTTCTGAAACAAGAGCAAAAGCTGCTCTTCAACTATGGGGCTGGCAGAGCTGTGGTGATAGTGAAACAGGCCCACAAGGAGGGATGTGATCTAGAGGAGGAATATAGGAGCTGATTTGGATAGAAAGCTAAAATCCACTCACCATCAACAGAAACTGAACATGGACATTGTCTACCAAGACAGATGAGCCACTCTCCAATCACTAAATACTATTCTAGTGTAACAAACCACTACAACACTATGGGTATTGGGAGACCCTGATTTCCAAGCTGTCACTATAATGTTTCCCTGCTGGTGAGCATTTGACAAGACTTTTTTAAAAAGACATTTGCTCCTTCAATAGGATTGACAGCCAAGATGGTGTCCCACGGGAGAACTCAATAAATGTCATTCCAGTGGTATTTTGGAAATATAAAGCCAGCATTGCTTTTTAACAACTAATCCTCAGTGGTCCAAACAGAACTTGGCTATGCCCAAGTGCATGGAGAAAAGCTAATAGCAACCCTCTAAATGAGGCTGGACTCCAGGATAACTGGAAGGTGCAGCAAATCAGCAAACAATGAAAGTACAATTCATCTGGAACAGCTACCAATATGTACCATAAAGACGTGTCAAAGATGGAAAGCAGCCACTCCACCCAGACAGCATTGAAAAAATACTCTTAGAAAGGGGAGCGCACTGAACAGCTAACCAGCTCTTACAAGGCAAGGAGCTGCAGCTTTAAACCAGCAATGAGCAAATCCACCCAGTACTAGATCTGGATTGGATGATGGCAACTCAAAGAAATGAGATGGCCCATCTTGCAGCCAGTGGGCTGAGGGTGATAATGGGGTGGGAGAAAGGCATGATTTAGGAGACAGGTTGCTGAAGACAGGACAAGACAGTAAGAGGATTTGTGAGAGTGAAGTTGGGAAAGGGAGAACCAGGTGATGAAGAGGAAGGAGTGGATCCACAAGATGAGTAAAGAAAACCTGGTAGTGGCTGGACAGTGGCAAGCACAGACAGAGGAGAAAATGTTAAAATGACAAGTTATTTATAACAGGCACTGAAATACTCAGTTATGACAAGTAATCAAGGCAGGGTCCCTCGAAGGAATTAATTATCAAGACAGCTCCTAGTAATATGGCAGCAGCATCCTCATCAGCTTGAAGTAAGTAACAGAAGCTGCTTAAAGCCAGCTGCCCTTGTCATGGAAGCTCTTCTAGAAAGCACAAGCATTTATAAACCATTACTAGGAGCTACAGACAGCGATAGTGAGGAGCAAAGGCCCATGGGATCCCCAGGGCCAAAATAATCTGTAGGAACACAAAAACTGCCAGAGTGGAATAGACAAATGGTCCATCTAGGCCACTGTCCTCTCTCTGATAGTGAGCAATACAAGTTGCTTCAGGGAAAGGTGCAAGACACACCAAAGAAAAGCACAGGAACCCACACTATAGGATAATCCCCCTGGGGTAGTCTCCTCCAAACCCAGAACTGATAGAGATTAACTTCAATCCCAATACAAGAAGATATCCTTAGTAGTTACTATTGTAACACTCAATATTCTGGTCACCTGTATAAATGTTCAATTGTTCTCTATATCCTGCAAAATACTTGGCCTCAATGGTGGCATCCTGTCGTAACTGAGTTCCATACTCTATATGCTGTATGAAAAAGCTTTTCTTTTTTATTAATTTTACCACTGGTCTCATTTCATTGAATCTGCCCTTGTCCTTGTGTTATGAGTCAGAATAACTAAATCTCCCTTCTCTAGACCAGTGGTCTCCAACCTTTTTAAACATGAGATCACTTTTTGAATTTAAGTGCAATCCAAGGTCTACCTCAAACCCAAATACCCTTGCCCCGCCTCCTTTGTGCCCCTTCGCTGAGGCCACGCCCCTGCTCACTCTGTCCTCACTTTCACCAGTCTGGGGCAGAGGATTGGAGTGCAGGCTCTGGTCTTGAATTAAGGGATTTGCAGTGTGAGAGGGGCTCTGATCTGAGCTTGGGGCAGGAAGTTGGGGTATCAGAGGGGATTCTAAGTGCAGGCTCTGGGAGGGCATTTGGATGCAGGGGTACTCGGGGCTAGGACAGAGGCTTGGGGTGCAGGAGGGGGTTCATGACTAGGGGAGGGTTTCAGGATGTGGGCACCAGCTGGGCCCTACTTACCTCAGGTGGCTCTTGGGTGGTGATGCAGAGGGGCTAAGGCAGGCTCACCCCTGTCCCGACCTTGCACCACTCCCAAAAGCAGCCTGCAAACTCTATCCCAAGTCCTGCTGTACCCCCTCTCTGCTCTGGGGAGATAGGGCACAGGGTGGGAGAGGGCACAGGGTGGGAGTGGGGACATCTTGATATCAGCACCCCTCCCCTGCCCTGCACAGAAAGCAGAGACTCCTAAGGGGACAGCTCCAAAGCAAAGGGTAGGAGATGTGCAGCAGTCTGGGGGGGGGGAGGGCAGCTGAAGTGGTGCTGGGATTGACAACCTCTTAGCCAAACCAGTTAGGATCCCCTGTCAGAGGTTCCAGGATCTACCAGTAGATCCTGATCTACTGGTTGGTGACCACTGCTCTAGACCATTAATTATTTTTTATATTTTTATGTCGTCTCCTTTCTAATGTAAACAATGCCAATCTTCTCAACCTCTTTTCTTAAGAGTTTTTCCAGGCCCCTAATAGTTCTCATCCACACCCACCTCGGAGCCCCTCTAATCATGCAATATTTTTTTGTAACGAGACCAATACTGCACACAGGATTCACTGGAGACAAGGCTGCACATTTTTACAAGGGCATTACATTTACCATATTCTGCATTCCATTCTGTATGCCTGCTGACATTTTGGACCTAATACAGAACCTTGCATTACATGCTGCTATCCTAGTATCATAAGACTGCAGAGCTGCTCAAGCCAGCCCCTGAGGAATCCCCTAATAAGAACTGGTTGGGAATGTTTCAACAATGTATTTTTCAGAAAAAGCAAATTTGCTGGATGCAGGGATGAAATGGGTCACTATTGCAATATACAGAGCTTCCAAGTGAGCTGTCCTTGGAGCAATCACAGGGGCAGCGGCAGTGTTAAAAGAATGTTTCTGTTGTTTCTGGATAAGACTGGTCCTACTCCATGATCTGCCATGTGTGCAATTTTAAGCCTCATATTCTTCATCTGTAACATGTGGCTAGTGTTCCTCCCCCTCATGGAGGTTGTGAGGCTGAACTCATTAATATTTGAAAGCACTTTGGGTTCCTGGGGTGGAAAGTGACCTTATTCATTACATTCTCCACTGGATAATTCAACTCTCAAGAGAACATGAAGAGGCATTGCAAAACCCACCCTTCACCACCCATCTGAGATATGCCCAGCAAGAGTCATATGAAGTCTGTTCCTGTTTTGTTTCCAACAGCACGGGATGTCTTAAAACCGAGGATTTTCTAAAACCCAACAGCACCAAGCCCAGCCTCAGCACCAGTGTGAGTGCTGCCAGATTCCTATGGAGGACAACTGCAGTCTGCTCTCACCTGACTCATCACTTCCTGAGTGTCTTTTCTCTCATCTCTCAGCACATTCAACTCTGCCTGCAGCAACTCTTGTGCCACATCAGCATTCTGCAGCAACTGTTCGAGATTAGTTTTCTCTGTACAGAGCTCCTCATTTGCTCTTTGTAACAGGCTCAGCTCCTCCTGAACAGAAGTTGCTGCTCTTTTCATGTCCTCCACTTTGCTTGACAAAGCCTGATTCTCCTGCTCCAACTACAGTCAAGGAAAGAACAGAGAAGAAATAAAGGAGCAGAGAACAAAGACATAACCTTTTATGGTGCCCAGGCCCCTTGCCTTGGGACCCCTCCTTGAGTCACAAATCAACCAGAGACCCTTTCTGGTGCAGCCACCTGTGTCTTTTCTTGTCAGTACCAATTTCCCACCACCTTCTATTTACAGAACTTTTGTTCACATCAACCTCAGCCAGCCTCTCCTTCAGGCTTGGGAGCACCTCAGCCTCACCCTGGCTCCTTGCTCCTCCCCTTTCATTTCTCCTGTGGGTGCCTCTGGCTAATGTGGCTCACAGCCGCTTGCATTAGCCCTTCAGGACTGGACTTACTCAGCTGGCTGCAATGGCCTTTTCAGCCGGGTTGTCATGGTAGAGCTCTGGCTTAGCCAGCAGTCTGTCACAACGGGCTCCTGTCCTGGGCAGAGAAGACTGTGTCATGTCCTCTCTCAATCAGCCCTAGTATTCCCTAGAGAAGCCTGAAGGAGACCTCACCAAAGTAATCCCTTCTACTAACTCCCATGGAGACCTCTACTCACCTGAAGGACAAGCTGATTCAACTGCACTTTGTCCAAAGCTAGAGCCTCATTAATGCAACTCATCTTTTCAGCCACATCATGCAGATCAGCGATTTCAGCTTTCACTTTATTCTGAACTCCTGTCAACTCAGCAATTGACTGTTCTGCCTAGCAGGGAAAAGAAGAAAAAAAAATGAAAACAAAACTCCAGAAAAGCTTCCTTTGCTTTAACTCAAGGATACCCTTTGCCATACCAATCCCCTGACAAAAGCTGTGTCCAAGAGTCCTCCCTTTCTCATACCCAAAATGCATCCCTCTTACATACACACCTCTAATCCTCTAACAATTCCTATTTCCATATAGTTAGTGTCCCAATTCTCTCTCAGCCATCCCTCCATGCACATGCAGGCTGAACTCCCCAAAGATTGTTTCCTGACATCATTCTTGCGTCTTCTCATGGGAGATAACACTACCTATCATTTTTATATTGCAACAAGCAGTGTATGGTGAGCCTGCTATTTGAACTCTCTTGAAATAACTCCAGTCATTTGAAGAAGTGGGCTGTGCCCACAAAAGCTCATGATCCCATCTACATGTTTTCTTAGTCTTTAAAGTGCTACCAGACTATTTGTTGTTTTTTAAGTTTATTCTGTACAGACTAACTCGGTTACCCCTCTGAAGCTTTTGAAATAAGCTGGGTTTGATGCTGCCTAAGAATACCAGATGAGCCCGTACCCTCTCCAGTGCCATGGCAAGCTCATGTTTCTCTTGCTTCATCAGCTCCCCATCAAGGTGAGATTTCTGCAGTGTCTCCCTCATGGCAACCAACTCACTTCTTATCAACGAATGCTTTGCTTCCAGTGAAGCTAAAGCCTTCCGACTGAGAGGACAAGAGGGGAGGAAGGGAAACAGACACATACACACAATGTGGAAGATGGGGGAGGGAGGAGAGAGGTGTTTAGACTTAAAGACATTATCATTTCAAAATCCAAGGCAACAAAAGACATGTCCAAATGACTCCGGTCACAGACCCCATTTCAGCCAATTCCATTACTTATTCTAGGCCTGAGCGTCCCAGCACATTGTTGGCTTGAGCCACTCATCCCTTGTCTCTGTTGTGGGGGAGAGGTCCTGAAGTTGAGTGCTTTTATTGAGGTAAAAAGAATACAATTAGGACAATGTTTACAAAAGGGGTCAAGGTCTTGAAGCATAGTAAGTAGCCAGAAAAGCAACATCTCAAAACCAGAGGCCACTTCTCAAAATATTGGCCTTTGTGTACTCTCACTTTGTAACTTTTGGGATCCCTCTTAACTGTTCCTTGGAAATTTCTTCCTAGCTTTCTAACACACAAATCCCCAGCGTGAGTGAAGAAAGAATGCTTCTTGCTGCTAATACTTGTATTTCTTCATTCCAAATGTATTTTCCAACATTTTGAATGAGTTTGCAATCCAGTGTGAAAGAGGATGAACCTGTGGTCTTCTCCCAATGCGACTCTATTTTATGAAGTATAAATTAACCGAGTCTAGAAGAAATACAAGGAATTGGCTGCTGTATATAGTATGGCAGATGGAAAGGAAAGAAAAGGATTTCCAAAGTGGACAGTGTTTCTCAACCTTCTTTTATAAAGTACCCTTTAAAAAACCCCCACACAACACATACTGTAAGTACCCCCACTACCTACAGTTTTCAGACACAATTTTTTTCTACCATTGCAACACGTTTGTTTAAACAACTTAATTGTAGCTGGGCAGGCAATTACATTTTTGGGTGTAAAAAGTACAAAAATAATAAAGAGCTGTAAAACTTAAAACAAAAATTCAGTTTTCTCCAAATTTCAGTTGTGCTGATGTACCCCCCATACTTCTGTTGAGTATCCCGAAGGGTACTTGTACCACTAGTTGGGAAACACTGGATTAGACCACTGGACGCATCACAGGAAAAAATCCTGTTGTTCTTCAAGATGTGTTGCTCATATCCATTCCAATAGGTATAAACTAGCTACATGTATTATCATTGGAAGGTTTTTCCCCAGGCAGTACCCATCAGGCCAGCTATGGAGCCTGGAAGAATGGCACCAGCCCAGGGTGGCCCTCCACCAACTCAGTTCCTTCTTGCTGGCTTTCCAACACATAAGATACAGATGGAATTTAGAATGGACACAAGCAACAATCTCAAAGAACAGCTACAAAAGTTAAGTAACCTTTTGTTCTTCTTTGAGTGATTGCTCATGTGCATTCCTATAGGTGACATGCAAGCAGTTTACCTGGAGGAGGGTTCAGAGATCACCACACAGCTGTCTGGAGTACCACCCTGCCAAATACTGCAGCATCCCAGGCCTGCTGGGTGATGGCATAGTGTGTCATGAACATGAGGATGGAAGACCACATCGCTGCCCTGCAGATGTCCTGAATAGGGACCTGTGCAAGGAATGCCACTGAGGAAGCATTCACCCTTGTGGAATAAGCCATCAGGGCTAGACCTAGGCCAGGTCATAGCATGTCCTGATACATGACATGGTCCAGGAAGAAAGACACTGGGATGAGATGGGCAGCCCCCTCATTCATGCTACAATTGCAATAAAGAGTTATAAGGATTTACAAAAAGGGGTCGTGCATTCAATGTAAAAGGACAATGCTCTCCTGACAGCTAAGGAGTGCAGGATTAGCTCTCTAGAAGTGGCATGTGGATTGGGGAAGAACAAAGGCATAAAATGTCCCGGTTCACATGGAAATAGGAGACCACTCTGGGCAGGAAGGCCAGGCAGGGACAGAGCTTCATCTTGTCCTTATAAAATACCATATATAGGGATACAGAGGTTAGGGACCAGAGCTCTGAAACTGTCATGGCTGAAATTATGGCCACAAGGAAAGTGACCTTCCATGAAAGATAGGACAAAGGACATGTAGCCATAGGCCAAAAGGGAGGCCCGTGAGATGGGAGAGGATCAGGTTGAGGGTCCATGGAGCCTAATCAAGGACCAAGGGTATAATGGCCTCCTGAGGCTGAATCCCCTTCTGGAGAGACCAAAGCAAAAATTGCTTCCACTCAGCTATGCATATGACCCTAGTGGATGGCTTCCTGGATACCAGGACGACCTCCTTAACTGAGTGAGTACTGATGCTCTTGAGAGTAGGGATGTGAAGGACTAGTCGCTTCCCTCCCTTACTGCCTCTATCAGAAAGAGGCAGTAAGGGAGGAAGTGGAAGGGGTACTTCAAAGCAGCAGTGCCACTTGGAGCCTGGGGCCAGACCCTGGGCTCTACGCAGCACTACCACTTTGAAATGCCACATGCAGCACAGGACCAGCTGGGGCATCAGGCTCCTCATATTGTTTCAAAGCGACAGCACCACACAGAGCCCGCAGTCAGTAGGGGAGTCCGGGCTACTGCTACACTTCAAAGGTGGAGGCACCCTATCGACTAATCGAATAGTCGATGCATTACGCATAGCCTATTTGATTAGTCAATTAATCGATATTTAACAACCCTACTTGAGAGTTTAGCAATGGAGTTTCCACGCCAGAGATGGAGAGACTAAAGGTTGGGGTGCTGAAACCGACTGTGGCTCTGGATGATGTTGGGGAAGGGTAGCAGAGCTATGGATAAAAACAGCAAGCAAATGGTCTGGTAGCACTTTATAGACTAAGAAAACATATAGATGGTATCATGAGCTTTCGTGGGCACAACCCACTTCTTCAGATGACCAGAGTTATGACTAGTGGATAAGAAAACTCGAAACAAAACTTTTTTATTTTGAGTTTTCTTATCCACTAGTCATAATTGGGTCATCTGAAGAACTGGGCTGTGCCCACGAAAGCTCATGATACCATCTATATGTTTTCTTAGTCTATAAAGTGCTACCAGACCATTTGCTTGCTGTTTTTTCTGTAACAGACTAACTCGGCTACCCCCTGAAGCTCCAGAGCTATGGATGTGTCTACTGAGAGGCTGAGCAGCATTGTGAACCAATGCTGCTGGGGCCATGCC